TGCTGGGCTTTGCATTTCAACTTTGAGTACAGATCACCACGCTTCCACTTTTAAATCAGAATCCAAATCAACAACCTTTGAAGACTATATTACTGGACTGAAACAGTGGGTCCAATCCCTACAACCTTCACCTGCCAATCACTTTACTGTAGGGCAGACAAACTAGCCAATAACTTTCTTTAAAAGGACTATATCAATCAGATTAACATCTGCCAAGAAACAAAGTTAAGTCCACAGACCAGATGGCTGTGTGAGCAGAAAATTTCTTGAACTTGGAATAGTTAAGCAAAATAAATTCAAAAGTGAAGGGAAATACTGCAAGGTCAAAATATAGTGGAATTTTTATGTGTGTGTGTCCCTGTGTGTACATTCCTCATCCAGCTCTACTTTGGGAAAGGGCTGCTTCCTGCCTACAATTTTTGAGCAGTATGTCTCATCACGAATGGAGTATTAGTTGATCGCAAAAGAAGTGGCTAAGAAGCCTCACAAAGGGCATGGGAAGAGACAAAGCTGGTCTGTAGGAAATGAGACTATGGATCAACAAATGTGTAGGGCAAGTAGGGCTGAATTTCACACTGAATTTTGTTGAAAGTTTTCTAGTTTTCCTTTGATATTTCTGTTGTTTATTCAGTCAAGAATTTCAAAGCACCCAGGAAACACATAGTGATGGTATAAACAAAATGTTTAAAGAACTTATCTATCAAAATTAGCAACACTGGCTTGGAATATAGTTTCCAATTTCATCCCAAACACAAATTATATACTATTTGCTACGACACATACACTACAGCACAATGTAATTAAAACATACAATACTTTTATTGATAGCTGCAGTCTCCTCAAAAACAAATCACATTTAAGAGAAAAAAGTGCTTGCATTTTGCCATTCTTAGCACATCAATTTATTTATTAGATGTATATTCCACTTTTCTCCAGCAAACTCAAAGCAGCTTATATAATTCTCCTCCTGCTGCTCTCAAATTTGTCCCCACAACAACCACTCCATGAGGTAGGTGGGACTGAATGTGTGTGACCGGCCCAAAGTCACCCAAGATAGCTCACTCTTAACCACTACACCACACTGGTTCTTTAACGTCATCTATGCCCTGTTCTGAAATCTCTAGATAATATTAATGCAAAATAAATGATCCCTGTTAACCCATGAAGCAGGTGCTGTTATAAAGAGCTCTTCCTTCACTCCACATGACCATTATTCATCCTATTCCAAAACCTCTCAAAGGAAAGAATGAAACTGTTGCACCACACTATTGTAGCTAACAACCATATGCTATTTTGTACCCAATGAAGGATCGGGAAGTAAGCTTGAGAAGCTAATGAAAACATAGGAGTTTATAACAGAAAACACCAAGGACACTGTCAAGGGACATTTCTAAGAGCTGAGAGATTCACAAAGAAAACATTTAAATAGCAGATCACTTTTTCAAACTTACTGTGTAATAGGTTTAAGACACATTGAACAGTAGACTGAATCAAGGAAATAAAAGGAAAAAATTGGAAAGCCCAGCTACAGATTAGCCAAGCACATTACTGTTTACTAATAAAACTGGGCTAATGACACCAGGAGCATTTGCCTCTTCAGCAGCTACCTTACAGCATGAAAAGGAGGTACTGCTTCATGCTGGAGGAAAGGTGCAGTCAAGAAATACCTTACACTCGCTCTGAACAATGCAGACAGAATGCATACCAATATGAACATGGGCCATTTCAACCTATCCTTCTAAATAGACAGAAGGAAATTGACTTCATCTTGCAAGGAACTCAAGGCAGCTTACAAGATTTTCCTTCTGTTTTATCCTCATAACAACCCAATGAGCTAGGTTGAGTTGAAAGGCAGTCCATTCCCCATCTAACACTCTAGCCGCTAAGCCACAGGCATTAAGCAAGGTTTATTTAAGGGATGAATAACTTCACTGACCAAGTTCACACAACAAGCCAAAGCAACCCCCAGGTAGGACTGGCATAGTCATAATGGTGGACTGTATGTGCCACAACTCCTCAAGGATTAATAAACAGCAAGCTGTTGTGCAGTTAGAACTGGGTGAATTTGAGTACTCATTTTAAAATGATACAAGTTTCAAATACTTAACATCTACAAAGATGCCCTTGAAAAAATGACAGCAATTGCTGTTGAAGTCTCTATGATGAAAACGGTGGGACTTTACTGCTATTCGCTATTCCTTGCCATGTCTTGCAAATTAGTAAAAGCTGCAATAAGAGGTAGAAATAAATACAAATTTATAAAATTTATCCAAGTTGCAAAGTTCAGTTTTGCCTAGTACAGAATTTGCACAGTCCAGGCCCAGAAAGTTAAGGATTTAGGGATAGAGTAAAACAAATTGCACATGTCCAAACTGACAAATAAGTTCATGTTACAAGGAAGGCATCAATTGAAAATGCTGCTGTGCACATCTCATCTTTCTGTTATCAGCCTCATATACCAACTACTTGAGTTTAAATGGAGAGCCTATAACATTTCTCAAAACACCCAAAAAAAAAAAAAAAAACCCAAAACCAAACAAACAAGAAAAACAAAACCAGAATATTAACATTGTAGATCAAAAAGGCAAACCGGATAGCCCTGGATATGTGTGTAGAAATGTGCAGTCAGTAACTCCCTTCAAATAATATGCAAATTCTCAGGTATGCAATAGCTCAGAACTGTATGACCATGATACACAATTCAACATTGAAATATTAGTTGTCTTGTAGTTGTCTTATAAGTTGTCTTATCATTTTCACTGCAGTATATATCCACAGACTTATTGAAAGACCACATACAAGGGGCGTTCAATGTATTCTCGGTATCGGGTTGATTTGCTATTGATGTGGGTAATTTAATTATTTTATTAGCTAGACACTATCTGAGGGTATACATGCAAAATTTCAAATAAGTGTGATCATTAGTTCCCTAGTAATCCTCAGTGAAAAATGACCATAATGACTGATGCGACAATGCTGAAGAAAATCGAGCACCACACTGTGATTAAGTTCCTTACAAAACAAGGAAAAAGTCAAAAAATCATTTACGAAGAGATGGTGGCCATTTACCAGGACTCAGCACCTTCATTATCTACTGTTCAAAAGTGGTCAAGTGAATTTAAAAGGGGCAGAGAAAGCATTGAAGACGACCCTTGCTCGGGCGGGCCGGTTACTGCCACTACGAAAGAAAATGTGAAAAAAATGAGAAACTTGTGTTGGAAGATGCCCGAATAAAAATCAAATGTTAGCAGAGATGACAAACCTATCTGTTGGTACCATATTTACTATTTTTCATGACCATCTTAACCTTTTCAAGGTCTGTGCGAGATGGGTGCCACGAATGCTCAAGAAAACACCGGGAGCTGCAAAACCCTTTTGACATCTAAAATGAAGATAACACTGCATATATCATTTTTTACCTTAATGCTATGTATATCTTCATTATGATTTAGCTGCAGCTCTTGTTCAGTCACTAAAAACTGTTATTTTTAATCTTACACTATAAACTAGTAGGACTCCTTTCATATATTTTCAATAGGAGAACAGCTTCCTGAAGTGTCAAAGTCAGTGCTAAAGGGCTGCGTGCATTAAACAGCAAACCCCGTAAGTTCGTCAGCAGTAAAAGCAAATGAATCTACCCATGTATCATTAAACGTTTGGTTTTCTTCAGAAACTTTTCTTTGATTTATCCAGGGCGGGCCTGGGGGGGGGGGGGGGGGGATAGCTCAGTAAATCTGTGCAGGTCCACAGATGGGCGGCTGTGCCAGAGATATAGGTATGTTTAGTGACTGATTAGCAGATTAACAGTCAAGTGCTGTGAATTGAGACAGGTCCCAAGTGCAGCTTTTAACATGCAGAGGAAGGAGATTACATTGGGACAAAGAGAATCCTTTCAACAGAGTTTTGTGTAAGATGAGAGCCTGCAGGAAGCTTGTTTAGCAGAGGAATGTAGCAATTTACTTAACTAGCTGATTTACTTAACTAGCTAGTGCTGCGTTCCTGAGTGGAGCTTTGAGCAGATCAGTGGCTGTGCTGGCGCGTGTTTTGAGTGACGGAGCCGCAGAAGAGGGGTTCAAGAGTCACGTGTGGCTCCGGAGCCACAGGTTGCCGACCCCTGGCTTAGACCAATGTCAACAATTCCACCAGTATTTACACCTAAAACTACCACCACTACCCACCACCCCATGCCAGCTATATTGGTCACAGCCTTTTTCTGTCCTAAAGATGCTGATTCCATCACAGTTTTTCTCTTACAAATAAAGAATGGAGGAGCATTAGGCAATACATCTTTGAAAAGGTGGCAGTGGAAATGGATTATTTCTCAAATAATTTATGCGGAAAGCAAACTGCACTGAATCAGAATTGAAACCAAAAGGAGTTGCACAACACCAATCACATTTTTCTCTTGTCATTTTTCATTCTGACTTCAGTTTGATCTAAAATCATTAGGCACACAGAAAGTTCTTAATTCAACCAGATTCCAAACTCTACTACATACCCACAGATTTATCACGTCTTTGACAATACTTTCTTAATCTTAAAGCCAGCTAGCTATTTGGATAGAGTTAGCACTTATAATATATAAATGCTGATTGTATTTTAGCTAGTGGGCACAAAAACCTTTTGATTTTAATTATTCAACAGCTTCAAGTGCTGAGTAATATTAGCAAGTTAATCTGCTCTAACTTAAACAACCCTAACTTAAATACACTTACCAGTGTAAGCATCTTGCTCAATAAATTGGTCAGTATGCAATACCTCCAAGTAACAAAATGAATTGTGCCAAACAATCTGTAGAGGCCATAGGACAAATAGTCACATCAGCAAATACACTAGGCACTGTCTATATCCTGTGGTCCAGATTCACATCCATGGCAAAAAGTAGTGTTTTTCACTTCAACTCTCGTTGCCTAAAGTTGCTTAAAATGTTTCTAGAAGTTCTGTGAGTAGGTTCAAGTAAAGCTAAAGGAAAAAATCTAGTGAATAATGCAATTTCTTACCTTCCACTCTTGATTCCAAGTGCTTATCCAATTCTGCATCTCTCTTCATTGCCTCATCTGAGACCTTAGGAGCATTTGAAAAGCAAACTAGAACAATACTCATATTATCACGACTTCCCTATATTTTGGGAGAAAAAATAGTATATATTTGAGGTTTATTTTTCATCTCACAATCCCAGATCACATACTTATTCAGTGTTAAATGTTAGTATGCATTCTAAGTTAATTTAAGTAGTACTAAGCATGGTTTTCACATACAACTACAGGAAATCTGGTAACTTAATGTACTGAATTACTTTACTATTTGTTAACTATTTTGTCTTACTTTGCATAGCTGCCACTAATAAAGGTGCCCTTCCATTGTCATTTATTCAATACAAGATTAAAATTTCATTTACAAGTTTTTGAGTACCCAAGCAAAAGGCTACTCAGTTTTTAGTTATCAAACTGTACTGCAGTTTCTGAGAAACACTGTTGAAAAAACCTTTCAAGATGCAGTATGTCTTCACCGCTAAAGTTTATTTTCACTTAATAATCCTTTACTATTTAGGTTGCAGCAACAAGAACTTCATATTCATCTAAATCCCTCTAGTAAGATTGGAACTTACTAGAGAGAAATTTGATAAGTTTCTTGATTTTTATCTGATTCTGATGTAATATCCCAGTTTTAAAAGAATATATCCTAAAACCAACACATGTGATCTAAGCAGTAAAGCAAAAGTAAGAAGTATATTTCCTAGCAAGTGAACTCTCAGGAAAATTCAGATAAGAGTAAGAACCACTATCAGTAAATTAACTATCCTAGAAGAACAGAAACTGTCCACCTGCCCATCTTTCCTTTCCTCCTCAAAAGAGTAAAAAATGAAAATGTTCTGCTTTAAACTGAAATGTTACCTTCTACTGGTACATGAAAATTAAGTTCTGCGGGTTCCAAAATACTATTCAGATGGCATAAAATGTATTGATAGTCTCAAACACAAAAGCAGAGTGAAATCCTAACACATTTGCAATTGTATGAATTGGTACAGACTAATTATCAAGTACTCTTAATGAACTATCAACAAATGAATGGTGGTTCCGCTTTTCTGCAGCAATTTTTATTAAGTTTTGTCCAATATTGCCAGGAGCAATGAATACACAACACCCTATTTAATCTTTTGGGTAAATTACATACCTTGTGTAAACAAGTATCCACTACCCAATTGCACACTTTTTCCAGATCATCTGATACTTCAAGCCTAGACTTAACAAATTCACAGAGCTCCTCGTTGCTCATTACATCCCAGATTCCATCACAAGCCAAGACAATAAATTCATCCTCTTCTGCTCTTACAATTTCATAAACCTCAGGTTCTGGAGAAACAAGTTGTTCTGTAGGACCTTTCCCATCAACACATTTGTAGTCATAGTCCCCCAGAGCACGAGAAACTGCTAGTGAGCCATTAACACGCTGAATCATGACACTCCCTCCTGCATTCTGGATTCTCTCCTTCTCCCTTGGATTGCAAGGCTTGTGATCCTGTGTAGAAAAGCAGACTTGTCCATTCCTATAAAGAACAGCACGCGAGTCTCCACAGTTGATAAAGTAAATGTGCTCAGGTGAAATCATAACTCCCACTGCCGTTGAGCCACTCCTGTCCATGCCATTTCTGAGGTCTGAAAAATTGCGCATGTATTCATCAATTTTCAAAAAGCCAGTTCTGATTCCACTCTTTACATTTTCCACAGAAGGTTCAAGAGCAGAGCCGGGCTGTTCTGTTCCCCTGAAGTCTTCATTGTTAGTGATGTGTTCTAGTAAGTGGTTTGAGCAGTAATTAGCCACACGAGATCCTGCATGTCCATCATAAACAGCAAAGAAGGACCAGTCCTCTAAACCATGAGGAATTCCTACAACAGCTGTGTGAGCATCTTCCATCTCCACTCTCCATCCTTGCATACTGCTAAGGCCATAACGCAGCCCATTTCCTGCCCCATGAGCATTATGCTTTTCAGTTTTTGGTTTATCCAAAAACGCACCCATGTTTACTTAATTTGTAAAGAAATCTGCAAAAAAATGTGCTCATCAATACACAAAGAATAAATTATAAACAATGTAATTACTTGAATGAATAAACAACATTCATTGACAAGAGAGTCTAAACTCTGGCACATATAATTTTGCTTTCCGATGACAACACAACCCAAAGCCTTGAAATAAGTGGAGTTGAAACCAGATTTAGGTCCCACAGCAGCTTCTCCAGCTCCCTGAAAATGCTACACAGAGGTGCAGGAGACCCTGATCAATGAAGTACGCTATGGTACAGAGGTAAGGGGGAATCCTCAAAATTCTATCAGAGGGCAAAGCTTTCCATCAACATAAGATCTAAATTCACAGTATTTATTATGCAAAACAACAGGTGGAGAATCACATCTCTGGATGCTCCTCCATTGTAACACAAATGTTGAGCATACAGAACACATCTATATTTTTTCTTTCTGCTAGTTACTATCTATACAGTGTGTAGGGGAAGTGTTGCTTTTATAAATAAAGATAAGCAAACTTGCTTATTTCTCAGTTATAGTCACTGTACAGTTGTACAATCCTAGAATGAACCATAATTACATTAAGGATTTCACTTAAATTCATCAGTTATGAGTAAAATGCATGCACCAATATTGAGTTGCTTCCAAAACTTCCTGAAAACATCATTTCAAGAAGCCTTCCTTGATTGACCAGCCACTTTTTACTGATATCCTTTTTATTTTAAACTTTAATATAGGCTTTGTTCTTTACTCTTGTCATCTTTTTATTCTTCCCTGCTCTGGAATCTGTATACAAGTAGAGTGGTACACAAATGTTGTAAATAAGTAAATATTAAAAGGCAGGTTACTTTTAAATCAACCATTTAAAAGAAAGCACTGCTGCTCAATAGTAAAGTATTTTGCAAAGGACTCATAAGGATTTGAGTTGTGTTCCATGTGCATTGTACACAGGCTTATTTGCAAAATCTATACTATTTAATTTGACCTCATAAATCCTGTGTGAGGTTGAGATGAGTAAAAATTGGTAACTGGAAGCGAACAACAATGGGCCAGTTCACACAAATGCTGAACCATGGTTTGATGCCATGAGAATGTTCACAAACTGCCAACTCTAGCTCTACAGAAGATTATAGTGTATGATTGTAGTGCAGAAAGCAAAAAAGGGGGTTCTTATTGTGTAGAAACTACCTAATTGAGATCTGAAGGATGTAGGTACCATTTCTGGCTATTAGAATCTCACTGGGGTAGGGGCAGGCAATTTCATAGTGCTTATCTGTGTGAGAAATATACATTTAGTTATCATAGCTCAACCAATGGCCTTTGCCCCGTTTATAACTATAGCGATGACAGGCAACTTCGAAGCATAGTATGACCTTGTTCAAAATATAGTGGAGAATATTTAAGGAAATATAACTTGTCTTGCACGTATCTGTCCAAAACAAATTTATTAATGCATGGGATTCTAATATCCGAAGAAAGACCATTTATGCATTCAATTTCATCCAGTCCACAGTAAAACATTACTTACCTGTCAACTGCAGTTCTGCCAATTTGAGTGCAGATTAAAAACCTTAGAGTTTACATTCCTTCAGCCAACAGGTACAGAAGAGATTATGCTTTAAAGCCTTCTGATAATGCAGGATGCAACATTTGCTTTCTCTTGGAATTTCCTAAGAGAAAAAGCAACAGTTATTAACACCTCTTACAAAAGAATTAGCAAATTAGGAATGTGGTAAATTTTGCTTATATTGCTACAGCTACAAATTATTCTAATATATGTTTCAGGAACACGGAAAGCTCGTAATTGTTTATCAATTTAAATCACGATTAACATTAGATCATTTTTGGTTATGTCTGTGAAACAGCTAGAACTTATATCTGCCTAAGAAATTGCTTGCTTACAGAGCAGCTATGCAATATAGCCTAAAAATATCCTTTAATCCTACATAAATGAACTGGAGCTCCAGAGGTGTAGAACTAATAAGAAAAAGAATTACACATTTCTACTTCATTAAACATCCAAGAATACTTGTAGTTTTTACACATTAAGCATTCTGGATAGATGCTCCATTATTGCAACCATACTGAATCCAAAGGGGAAATTTCTTCATCTCTAGCCTATAATACTACCATAAACATTAAGGACAAGATTGAACACCACAGAAGTAAACTTTCATTTATGCAACATAAATTCTGCTTCCTCTCTCCTGCACGAAAGCTCACTGTACCCCCCAAAATCTGATCTGGAGGCTTATGCACCATCCCTATTTTCTCACTGATTCTCACTCACTTAGACCACAAGTTCCTCAAAACAGATAATGTTGCAAGCTTTTAGGTATATTGTCTACCAAAAATTATGAGTAAACCACAAGATGAACTTGCTTCCAAGGAAAGTGCATAAATATGGACCCCAAAACCATAGAATGTGATAACTGTAAACCCACTGATTGACCAAATTAACATACTGGCCCAATTTGCACATGTAAGTTAAACCACCTGGGGTTCCTCCTGCACATCTACCACTTCTGCTTTACATTAGCTTTCCTCAACAACTTAGTTCCTGGGCTGCCTGATGCAAGATGACAACCTGAATCCTGGATTATTGTGGGACAAAGAACCCAGAATTTAAACCATGACATGTTGTTGGGTTGTGTAAGCCATGAACGGGCATTACTTGAGAATCAGGTAACCTTATCCAGTTAAACCTTTATGGATAACTGCCCTACCCATAAGGGGTTCTGCCACTACAAAAGCTCAGTGAGAAGAAATGTTTTACCCTTGTCTTATTAAACTACAGATTTCCACTGAATCAACTCAAAGGTTTCAAAAACAGATTGGACTGATAATTGGGAAGGATGGCATGGTCCTGTCCTGCTACATTTTAAAGACTAAGCTCAGCTATTGAGGCCCTTATATGTATAGCCTAAACTAGCCTTAAGTGCTAGTTTTCCTTATCTCACAGAATAAATATGTTAATGACAATCTGAACTTAATTTCCATTGATACAAAACAGAACATTACAAACACACATCTTTAGTTTAACAAGAGCTCATAATTAAAAAAATAATTCACCTTTATTAATAATGCAAAAAATGGAATAGCACAGACTGAAATGGTTTCAGCACTTTCATAGTAAGACAGAATAGCAGCACTGAAAATTGGTTTTGTCTATATGTTATGTTTATATCATAGGCACTGGTCCAAACTTATGAACACACCTGGAAAAAAATCAGGTTTTTTACCAAGTTAATTATGAAAGTAGGAAAATAGTAAACATTTTTTTACATGAAAGAAAAGCTATTGTAAGCTATGGTTCATACTGAAAGGAAAGGAGAACATCATAGTGAATTTCCCCAGCTCCAAAAACACAGCACTACAGCAACTGTGCACAATTCTATCTTCTGAACATAAAAGTCATAAAGCCAGAAGCCATAGGGACGCATAGCACCACACAATGTTTCTTAACAGTAGTGCTGCAGCCAGTTTACTATTCAGCTCAGGCAAGCTGCAACTTGAGCAGCGGTTGCAAAATTATTACAGTAAAACAGATGTTCTTTGATTTTTGCATATTGATACAAAATTGCAGTACTAAGAATAATTTAAATAATTATCCTGAATATTAAGGATATGTGATCCATAGTGAAGAATCCCTCATTTAAAGTCATGATTCTATGTCTTTTTTACCCCAACATCTAACTCTGGAAAATTGAAGATGATACCCCTTCAACCACCACCGCATTATTCAACGATTTATGCATGCCTGAGTAGAAACAGGATCTCTCTCCATTTTTCTCTCTGGGAAAGGAAACTTAAACTAGAGATGGATATTCTACTATTTACTTCACTCACCAAAAGAGCCAAACTTTTTCTATGCTCTCTGCAAATGATGCTCCCAGACTAAACAACTGCCTTTTTATTCTTTCCAAGAGCTTCTAGAATCTGCATCCTAGGTATCCCTGGTAACAGCAGCCAGCCAACATAATATCCCATGACACTGGCCAACTTAACTGTGCAATAAAATGCATGGTAGGGCCTTTTCGCTCAAGCTTCACCCCAAATGAGTTGGAAACTGAGGCAAACTAATGAAAAGCAAGGCAGTGGTACTATAAGGTACTAACAGAATTCCCCCACACACACTACCAACCAATTATTTTATTTATTAGAATAAAACTATACTGCACACTCTAGAGTGAAAGCAATGAGGTCATGTTTACTATCAAATAAAAACAAAGGCAACACAAAAATATTAATTTTACTTGAAGAGTTTTATCTCACACACTTCCATTTGGTCTCAAAGAAGAAAATCAAAAAATTAAATTAATTTAATTTAGCACACATTAGAGTGCATTTAGCAACTCAAAAAAGACTCAGCCAAATATTTTTCAAGTCTTAACATTCTGAGAACATACTTACTCATCCACAAGTTTTAAATTTAAACTAATTACAAAAGAATCAGATGACATTCCAAAACAAAAACAATTAATTTAAAAGAAACAACTAATTACCACTCTTGACAACATTTTGAATCTTTCTTCCAAAGGGAGCTCAGAATGCAAGTATGCTGGCAACCCATGTACAAGAAGTACCCTTTACTAGCTCAAAATGGAGTTTGGAGTTCTTAATGCAGCTACGAATGAACAGAAACACTTCTACAATGGGGCAGGTTCAATGGACTTTTTCAGTTTCAGACCTAAAGACTTGACAGTGGTACATTCCACATTAGGGATCATTAGGACACAGATCAGAAATAAAACTGGCAACATTGGTATGCCTTTAAATAAATCCATGGTGTGACAACAGTTTGAAAACTTTGTACATTTCCCACTGCCAAACCAAAAAAAAAAAAAATTAGAACTGAACAAGTGGCAAACGAGCAGAAACAAAAAATGATAAGAGGGCTGGAGCAACTCCACTATGAGACAGTAATTTAAGGCTTTTGGGTCAGAATAGGAGGGATATGGTAAAAGTCAATAGATGTTTTTCTCCTCCAAAATACCAGAACTGAATGACATCTAGAGAAAGATTCAGGACCAACACAATTAGATATTTCTTCATACAATGCCTAATGGATGATCTTCAGCTTTGACGGCTTTAAATGGGGATTAGATAAATCCATGTAAAATAAGTAATATTCATGATGAGCATATATTCAGATGCTTCTGAATACCAATCACTGGGGAATAGTGAAAGAGGACTATCATCCTCATGTCCCACTTCTGAGTTTCTTAAATCTATACAGTCATCTATCAAGATCTGACACAAAGTTAGAGCCCTAACTTATCTCACCTTAGAGCCCTTTCTCACCTTCTGTAAGGTTTTCAATGCTTGCTACCCTGGCTCCTAGGTGAAACAATATTTTTCATCACTGAAAAACACCACCACCACCACCAACAGTATTACTCTGTCCCTGAGATTTCAGATTACTACTCTAAAGACTCAAATGATATTTGCCACATTCCAAGTTGAATCCATATATTATGGACTGGCCAGAGCAACAAAAACAGCCAAGGGACCCAGCTCAATATTTTTAACAGTTCCTTAAACCAGAAATTAATTTTTGAAAAACTGCTAAGCACTAACTTAGGAAAGCATCATGAAAAGCTGTCAGTCTCATAATGACTTACAAAGAAGGCCACTGAAATAGACTGCAAATTGTAGCTACCTAGCAGCATTCAAGCCTTTCAGATTCTGAACACTTCTTTAATTTGAATCTTAGTATCAAGCAGTGATATGAGTACTTCCTTTTTCCACTAAAAATTTTCCACTATGTAAGTTCATAAGTAAAAATCAGTCATAGAATAGTAGAGTCGGAAGAGTCATGAAGGTCATAGGGTCCAGCCCCCTGCTTTTGAAGGTCACCAATTTATACCATTCCACCCAGATGATTGTCCAGTTTCTTTTTGAATGTCTCTAGTGTGGGAAAGCCATGACCTCTCTAGGCATCTGGTTCTGCTGTCGCATTGCTCTGGCAGTGAGGAAAATTTCCCTGATATCTAGCCTGAATCTGAGCTATCACAACTTGAGTTCCATGTTCTACTCTCTAGTACAAATGAGATGAGATACTGACATTCCTCTTTATGAAAGTCTTTAAGGTACTTATAAAGGGATATCATGTCCCCCCTCAGTCTTCTTTCCTCAAAATTGAACATACCCAGTTTTCTCAGTCTCTCCTCACAGGGCATTATTTCCAAACCCCAAATCATTTTCGTTGCTCTCCTTTGGACACTTTAGAATCTTCTGCAGCTTTCTTAAATCTTGGTGGCCAGCACTAGACACAGTAACCTAGATACCAGTCTTAGGTACACTTAGCCATTTCAAGACTGAAATCCATGTTTCACAGACAATTCACCTATTGATATACATACGTCTCAGTGTGAAATGGAACTGTGATATCAAAACTGAAAGTGCCCAACCACCTCATTGGAAGTCAGGTGTTTTTGACTGCTAAAATTAATTTAGTGCATCCTTCCCCATACTGGTACATTCCAGCTATACGGACTGAAGAATGCCTGAAGTTCTAATCAAGATACAGTCGTATAGTGATACCTCGGCTCACGAATGCCTCAGTTCATGACCAAATTGGGTCGCAAACAGAAATTTCAGAAAAAATTTTCCTCAGGTCGTGAACTCCACATTGGGTGACAATTGTGATCATGCCCATCTTCCCTCC